TTTTTTTTTTTTTTTTTTTTTTTTTCGAGTTTAAGTTCCAGACCTGCATCACCTTCTCATTATCGTTCTTTCCATGTTCAGAAATTGATTCTAAAAGAGCAGAACGCTGGCAAGTCCGTTGACTACGTTGTGATGGGAAAGAAGTATTTCACGAGAATCGAGCAGGTCATCAACATCGCTGGGCCCGTGTTTGTGACTGTGATTCCCAAAATGGTTAAAATTACCAAATTTGGGAGCGAACGTCTAGGAAGAATAAAGAGTTGGGAGGTAAGAATTCTATACTATTATTGGCACCAGTAGTAGTTGACCGCCCTGTTAGCTCAGAGTAGCGTCTATCTGTTGTGTGGCTCAAGCTTCTCGCGGCCGAATAAAAATAAAGAATACTGAAATAACTGAGGAGAAAGCGCTACCTTTGCAATAGGCCCTTTGCAGTTAACGGTCACGTGCCTGTACTGGTGAGCAAAATTTTTGTTTTTATATTAAATTGGTGATTCTTTTTAGCTTTTTGTAAAGAACTGAATGAAAAGATGTGTAACCAGTGTGTCGAAACAGGTTGTAGAAAGTTAGTTTGCTCTACAGTAAATTTCACAATTGGGAATCAAAATGTTCACTCATTTGCTCTCAGTGAATTAATCAGCACGTGATTGCTTAGCTGCATAGGGCCTATTACATCTACGCATGATTACATCTACAAGTGGCTCGGACGACCCCGTTAATGGCGGTCCCGTCCCTGTTCAACTAGAGAGCGATAAATAAGTAGCAGTAGCAGTAAAACGTATGCAATATATTGTACAATCGAGGTAAAATACTCGCAATTTTGAATTATTGGCCTATAAATATTCTAGCAAAGTGTGATATGCACGTCACTGTACTAGTCAATGTAACTACCGTACCAGTCTTCCTTGCAAAAGCACAGGCAACCCAGGTAAGATCCCTGTATATGTCGTCCCTTTAACTTGCTTATTCAAACGAGATCCCTTTATATATACTATATATATTTTTACAATAGATGACAGAGAAATTCAAGAATATTAACCTGCCTGGCACAAACACTGCCGCGTACAAAGGAATGAAGAGTTGGTTTGCCAAAACATCGAACTACATAAAAGCCAAATCGGAAAGTTTAAGAACGTTGATAACCACCAAGTATAGCAAAGCAGTAGACGTTGTGAAGAACCTCAAAAGAGGGTTTTTGACTCTCTCAGGATTTCTCACGGGAGGTAATGTTGAAAATGGGAAATATGTTATGAGCCACTCCTCGAAGTAATAAATATACAATCCATATATAGCTCGATTTAGACTTTATTTAGATTTTATGCAGCTTTGAGAAGAGAAGAGAAGAGAAGAGAAGAGAAGAGAAGAGANGAGAAGAGAAGAGAAGAGAAGAGAAGAGAAGAGAAGAGAAGAGAATACACAAAATAATTGTCTTTTTTTATTCTAACAGCCTATAATATCTACGTTTCCATACAAAACATAAAGAAATGTCAAAAAATAAAGGAAGAAGTGAAAGGTGCTGTAGAGAAACTCAGACAAGCGAAAACAAAGTTCACTGAAATTTATAATAATGTAACAAAGGCAAAAGAGAACATGCAAAAGGTAAGATCGATTCTTATTAATATTTTTTCATACCTTCGTTCTTCGTTCTTTCATTCATTCTCATTTAGCCATGCATCCATCATCCATCCATCCATCATCTATCCATTTTTATCACTTCTTCCTATTGCTTTGTTCTCAAATTTCCACCCAGGCTGCAGAAGACATGTATGAGTCGGTCGCCAGCGACGTATTCCTGTCTGACCTAAAAGAAATGCGAGACAACATGCTGTCCATACAAGGTGACTCAAAAGGAATGCAGGACATGATCAGCCAGACCACAAAATACATTGATTCCATTAAATCCAGCAAGGATTTAAATGACGTCGTTCCTCTGTTCAACGGTCTCTATCATGCACTTGGTATTCTCCCATTTGTCTATAATTGCCTTTATGACAAAACATGGTTCATAGGGTGAGCAAAACCATTCAGAGTTGGAGGGAAAAGCTGGTTTGAGTTGGTCTTGCAGTAATTTGTAGGACGGGTTTAGAGGACATGCATATTTCGAAAATGGAGTCTTTTTCGTCTCTTACAACATAAAGACCTGCAAGTCAATGTAATGGCAACTCGATCCAGCTTTTCCCTCAGTTTCGAAATACTCCCATTTCGAGTTCGCCTGTGCTCAGTCTTAGCCTCGATTGTGTACAAATGTGTCCTTTTCTTTCAGTAAGCTCCATTGTATAGTAAGGAGTGTACGACACTACGGAACAATACGAGTTGATTAAAATGCCAAGGGTTTTGGTTGGATAGCTGAATATTATAACGCACAAACGAGACTAAGACTGAGCAAAGAGAACTCGAAACTGGAGTATTTTAAAAACAAATAATTGTTTTTGCTGCTATCTAAGACTGCTACTTATGGGTTGTATTCCTATTTTTTATATGTTTTTATTTTTTTGTAAGATCATTAATAGCTATCTAACACGGGAAATACTTAGGCCTCATGCACATTTTTCACTTTCCAGGATACATGTCATTGGCTAGAGTGACAGAAATTTTCAAGGCGAAGTGCAAACCACATTGAATTTTAATTTATAGAAATGTTATTCCTTGGATGATTGACTTTAATAAAGCCTTTTTCTTAGAGACGACAATTCCACGCTTGCTATAAGAACTTCTAAGAGTGGATAAAAACCCTGGGTCGAGTTGGTGTTGTATTGCATTGTGGGAATGTTTCTGGGCCAGGACAAAATAGACTACACTTATAACGGTTCCTCGATGCGATGCAATGGCAACGCGACCCTGGATTCCTCAACCTTGGAATGGTCAATGAGTATCAACCATTGCAAAAGCGTTATGTTTTTCATTTTAAACGACACTAAATGAAACAATACTAAAGAGAATGACACATGGTCTGAAATGAAAAAAGGAAAAGGAAAAGAAAAAGAAAACATTAATTTGCCCAAACTGAATAAGGCCATTATTAGTAAGTAAAAACTATCATAACATTATGCTTTCTTTCTCGAAAAGATCCATAGCGAGAGGATGTGAAGAAGGCGATAAACCTTTAACGGAGCTAGTCACCTTGGCAAGACACCAGTATAGTAACAACATAAAAGACTGCGAGGAGAGAACAGGAATACCTTACATCACTGATGAAACCATCAGAGATATGATTGACAAAGCGGCAAAGGACAAAGGATTTAATCAAAATTGTGTCCTTAACAGCAAGACTCTGAAGGATTTTGTTTGTTCTATGAAATGCCAACCTTTGGACTTCGATGATATCGCCTCACGTTTAAGTCCTCGAGGAATCTCCAAAGATACGGTAATGTGTTGATTAATTGTGTTTGCATTGATAGGGTAATTACAAGAGAAAATGAACTAAGCAAAGGAATCCCCGTGCCCCATCATGTGCACACTTTGATACTATTTTTAGAATCATTGATGCTATTTTTAACTCGTTACCATGCCCGCGCGATAATCATGCTTCCTTTAATGCCTCGTTTTAGAACACGAAAAGCGACAAAAACACAGGCTTATGTTTACTGCAAGATTAGAAGCCGCCTACCCTTTAAAAAATCAACCAATCAGGTTCTTCGCTCAAAATATCTCCAAGCTAAAAATAGCATCAAACTGTGCACATGATGGTTACAAGGCTATATAGGTAGGATTCCTTCTCTTAGTTCTTCTCTATTTTTGTGTTATAGGTTAAAATCTTGTATGACGACTGCCCACCATGTGAGAATGATAAGGAAAAGGACGTCAAAATGGTCTGCATGATAAAAAAACTCCAACCAAAAATTAAAGATAAAGAAATCCAAGAACTTGTGCCTAAACTGACATTAGATGAGATTGCTAAGATAGACTGCAGTAAAGTAAATGGTGAGTCTGTCATTACAAATGAATAGATGAATAAATAAAAATAGAAATTTGATTGAAAAATAGAATATAGAATTGAATCCCACAGAGTGGCCTTCCTTTGAATTAGAATTTAGAAGTCGAATTTTACTGAAGGAAAAAACCAGAGAACCCCGGAAAAAAACCCTCGAAGCACAGGAGACTGATCAAAAAGCAGCTCTACTCACATACGAAATCGAGAGCGGCGGGGTCGCATTGGTGAGAGCCGAGTGTCACCAGTGCTTTCCCCAATAGATGAGTACTTGAGTTTTGATGCGAGTTCTCTGACGCTTAGGGTTAGTTTCAATTTCGTATGAATTATCCATGTGTACCAGTGAAGATCCTCGAAATTTCAATTAAGTGTTTGTATTGTTGAAGCTTTGCATTCTTTACTTTACCCTTGGTATCAATTTATTTATGCTCTGACACTGAAATGAGACACCGAGTACTGAAATGATCAAAAAGCATGCGCCCGGAACAACATTTACCGGTAACCCCCAAAACAATAGACCTCCTTGGGTCGGGTGTAGTGTTGTCCCATTTCAGACCACGTGTCATTCCCTCGAGAATAAGATTCTTTGTTTGAGTTGTATCCATACTCATGTGTCTCCTCATGTGCAACCGGGCGCAACTGTTAAACAAAGAAATGATCCTCTAGAGAATGACACGTGTTCTGAAATGCGAAAACATTATGCCCAAGTCTCTCTATTCTTTGTTTGCACATGACCTAATAGCCGAAATATTGGTCGCAAATAATACTAAGATATCTGAATAAATTATTTCGTTATATAAACAAACATGGACAACATGTCTTTACAACACTTTGTATAAAAACCTGTAATTGATTGCAATACGCTGCCTCCTCAGGGGGCTACGTATCCCATATACTCTATGTTGGGATCCCTGTGTTAAATTTTATAGCAGAGACTAAATAGGAGCTTTTCATATTCTTTTCTTTTCAGAGAATTAAGAAAACGCGCAAAGAAAGCACAAAAGAATGCATGTTTGTGAGGCTCACAGAGATTATTCACAAGAAGAAGGCAAGAAAAATGTGGACAAAAATAGAGAAATATTGATTAATAAAATGATGTTATGAAATGTGTCATAAATACTGCTTTCTGGTTGGTTAATTTGGGTGGTTTATGAGGGCACACAGCACACATACGCTTTCTACTTCTTCATTTGTATTACGGGTAATTAGAATTCTGAAGTCCTTTAATCTACATCCGTTTATCTCAATTGGTAAGAGCCGCGTCGGTCTGTTGTGCAGAAGGTCGTGTTTCGAGCCTCGACAGGGGCAGCCCTTTGGGATTAAAACTAACTGAGGAGAAGGTGCTGCCTTCGTAATTACATCTGCAAATGGTCTATTTTCATAGGCTGGAATGATTCAAAGCAGGGACGATTCTTTGTACATGAAACGTCTACCCTCGCATCTTGCAAAGGATGTAGCCTTATTTCTTTAAATTGTCTACAGAAGATCGATTATGATATCCGTGTAGAAAGGGCGCTATATAAATCATAAATCATTACATAATAGTCATAATTTAAACTAGTGAATTCTCACTTTCTTAATATTACTTTCTTATACGCACTATGTGTATCATAGCCTTTACAAACTAGTTTCGTTGTTACAACCTCTGCAGTTTGGCTATACATAATGCGTATAAGACGGTAATATTAAAAAAGTGACAATTCACTAGTTTAAATTATGACTATTGTTTCAAAGTCTTTTGATCGCTCAATGAAGAATATCACAAGGACGTCATTACCATTATCATTATACATTTCATTTGATACCATTAGTAATTGACTATATAGACGCTTTGCACCATGATATATGATGGCTGCCATGACAGAAAACATCACAATATTTTCTTTTCCAATTGTTTCTCATGTAGAACCGTTTAAACAAGATGCATTATAGGCATTTGACGATACGGCGACCATCTTGGATTGCAAGGCATTATGGGGCGTCCAGGTGGCAAAGAAAGCTTTGTTACAGTAATGTGAAGTAGTCCATTTTTCCTGCCTCCTATCATGGTTGTCACCACGTTTAGCCTCAAAGCCTCTACTGGATTGTGATCCATTTTTTAAGACTCGTCTAAAGTAGACAGTAGCTTGGAATGCAGTCTTATATCAACATGATCTTTATTGCTACACAATATGTTTTGTTCTGATTACATGTGCTTCACATATAATAACATGCTGTGGTAAGCTACTTTTAAACATTGCAAATCTCTTCTGCCGTTCTCCGATGATTCTCCATTTATTCAAGATCTGCAACAAAACGAAAAGAGTTACTTGATATTCTAATTATACAAAATGATATGGGAATGTTGAATTTGTTCAATCTTTGGGCCCTTTGATGCGTTTACGAGGGCTTTTTTGCAGGGATCTTAGGTGCAATTTGGCTGCGATCTTTCTCATAGTCAAAGAACCCGGAAAATACCCCTCGATTTAGGGGAAAGACCTAGCAAACTCTAGTCGAGGTGATTTCAAGTCCAGGCCAGAATCCAACAACCCCGTGGTAAGAGAAGAATATTGCCATTATACACCACGTATTTAACATTGATTCTTGTATAGACCCCTTACATGTGATGTCAAAGCAGCTCAATTTAGAGGACCAAACAAAAGAATTTCACTCTCATGAGAATTGGAAACCTGCTTTTATGTCCTCTAAAATAAGCTGTATTCCGACATGCTGCAAGGGGTCTATTTCTAATGCTCTATTTCAAAAAAAGAAGGGAAAAAAACGGTTTGTGAAGGTCTTATTGCATGTTCAGGTATGTTGCATCTTGCTTGGCGATTACCAAGCTTTTAAATGTACTATATTTATGTATGAATAATGTCAGCTCAGAAATAAATATAACGGGGTAAAACGTGCAGTCAATGTTTAGAAAAATTGATTATTGTAGTGATCTTCCGCTAAAGATATTCATTGTGAATATCTTTCTTTACAGCGTTCGCTTAGATCGCTCATTTACTGTGATGATCAACACATCTATCAAAGATATTCATATCGCCCGTAGTGCAATTCGGCCTTATTGGGTAACATGCAACATGTGAAAACCTTCACAAACCTTTTTTGAAAAAGCTGAAATGGTTAATCTTCAACGGTGTTTAAAAAACTGCATTGAATCATGATCATAAATCAGGTGCTTACCAATTCTTGCATTCGACGGATGCAATCTCCTTAAGTGTTAACATCGGAAACTCTTCCTGTATCTCTGAGTCGGTAATTGCAGGTTGGACCCTCTTTACCATACAGATAATACTTTTCTTTCCTTCAATGCATGATTCGCATTTGGGGAGAACAAGTTTTATCTGAAATGTAAAAAAAAAAAAAAAAAAAAGACCTAATCATGTGAACTATATGTGACGTGACGTCACAAAGTTGACGTCATTACAACTTTTTTTAAATGTTGTATGTTTTGTACACTAACATGGCAATCATGTAAAATAAATATTTAACTAAAAACATCATTAGGCATTTGCAGTCAAACAAGCTCACGCGTTGTCCCCTAGATATGATTTATGAAATCATTAGTCAATTATTCCTTTTATACGTACGAACCGGAATAATGYAATATTGCAATATTCAAATGAAAATTCAGTTCATTATTCGACTCGTGATGAAGAAGGTAAATCATCAAAATTACAGATACCTTTGAACAGAAGTCGCTCTCTTATTTAATAAGCATACACACTAGGTTTTGCAATTTCCATGCCTCAATTACTTGGAGGATATCGTCAGTAATTTTGTAGGGAACGCTCTCGCCTTGAGCGAAATGGAGACACAATTCCATGTCGTCGATAATGTTGAAGTATTTTCTGGACTCCCCAACTAGAAATTTTTAGTTGTCACGAAATTGCTTTATTGGACAATCCGCTATTGCTGAGATGAACAATTTCCTGTCGAATAATATCAGGTAAAGGCCTTCCCGGCACATAAACACGGCCAAGACTATTTCTGTCCGTCATGTTTTCTTGGTCTTCCGGCTGTGTTAGCACTGATTAACCAATCAAAATGTCGTATGTTGAATTTAAAGTTGATTGGAATTTTCATATCTTCGTTTTCGACGTTGTAAATTTCAACTGAATAATGAAATCAAAATTCGAAAATTCAAATCATTAATCGACTCTAGGGGTCAACGCATGAGCTTGTTTGACTGTAAATGTGAAGTCATCACTTTCATGCTGGTGCAAGTTATCAAAGTATTGTTCTCTAGCTTCTCTTGTTATGTACACCAACATGGCCATCCTGTCTTTACTATTTGATTCATGTTGAATTTTCCATGTAACGTCATCACCACCGTTTATGTTGGTGTACTATATCAAAATATTTCTCTCTAGCTTATTGTGTTATGTACACCGACATGGTCGCCATGTCTTCACTATTTGGTTCATATTGAATTTGTTTCCATGTGACGTCATCAACACCATGTTGGTGTATGTTAACAAAATATTTCTACCTAGCTTCTCTTGTTATGTACACCAACATGGCCTCCATGTCTTTGTCATTTGAATCATTCAGTTTGTTTCCATGTGGCGTCATCAACACCATGTTGGTTTTCTTAACAAAATAATTCTCTCTAGCTTCTTTCGATATGTATACTAACATGGCGGACATGTCTTCATCCAGGTAATCATACAGCATTTTTACTTTTTTTACATTTTGAAGTATTTTACCTTTTCCGCAGGCCAAGGGATTTTCTTCGCGATTTCCTTAGCATTTTTTCCTTTACCCTCACAACGAACAGTGCATATTTGTTCTATCTTACTATCGTCATTTAGCGCGCAGTCTTTGTTAAAGCTCCCGTCGTTTTGAGCTGCTTTATCGATGAATCGCTGTATGATATCTGGAGTCAAATGTCCCCCACCTAACTTTTGTTGGCAGTCGGTGCTGTTTACATCATACATATTTTTGGTGTCCTCTATGATGTCTTCTATCGTCTTTCCCTTTTTACACTGCCGAATGGTTGAGCTGCAAAATACACAACAGACCGGCAGAGCCGAGGAAGAAAAGAGTTAGCAGTTTTGGGCAAAATCGCGGATTTGTGTGTTGCATGTTGGTTTCGGGGGAAAAAAATATATTTTCAGCTACCCTTAGTTACCGTTGCTATGCCGGTTTCACAAGCTCAAATTAGCTAGAGAATCACAGACATCACTGGAAATTAACTATTGAATTGTTTCATTTGTTCACTGTCGTGTGAAAATCAAGACAATCTCCTCGTAATCTTTGTAGTGCTCTTTAAAACAGACTCTGAGCATGCATAGTTGTTTGTGGGACAAGATTTAATTCCACTTGGAAAACTGCTGCAACGATGAGAGGTTCGTTATCGTCGTAAGATCCGCAGATCTTGTATTCAATGCTCACCCCCTCACCCCTCCCCTCAGTAATTAGATGCAATAATATATTATGGCTTATTTCTGTTTTGTTGGATCTGGAGAAGGGTTAGAGTTTAAATTCCCCCCTTTTGTTGGTCAAATTTTTTGCAATGAATATTTCGCATCTGAATTATAGAACCGTAGGTAGAGTTGTAGAGGAAGAAGTTGAACCAGGCGAATCGTATACGTTAAAGTAGAAACCTAGAGAAAGAATCGTTAAAAGAAACCCGTATCAAAGAATTAAGGTGAAGTCCCATTTCACTTCGAGTATAGACCAAATTCAAAACTCGCACCGATGTGAGGCTTAACTTGTGAACAAAGGGATCTGGCGTGACTCAAAGTAATCTGGCGTGATTCAAAAGTCACGAATCACGCCAGATTCCTTTGTTCACAACTTATGCCTCACATCGGTGCGAGTTTTGAAGTTTGGTCTATCCATGAAATCTATCTCTTTGAAACCAGATCCTACAATCGTTGGACTCTAACACGCTGGACTAAAACGCTTACCTCAAAAATGTGACTTTAGTAATGATACAGCGATAGACGAAAGGAAAGCCAACCAGAGATGTATGCAATCGACTGATCAAACGAGTAACAGTTTCAAAGTCATTTGTAGATTTGATAACCCGGATGTAATCATCGATGCCATCAATCATATCCTGTAAACCACGTCCAGTACCTTGAATCTCTTCCATGTTGTTTTTCAGTGCAGTAAGGTCGTAGAGAAAGGCTTCACTTGTTATATTGTTTTTAAGCTGGTCTCGTGCCTAGAAGTCAAGGCATTAAAACAAAAGTTTAATCACGCTCGCAAGTTTTTTAACAAAGGACTTTTTAGACAACATGGTTAATTTTTGTCTAATTTTGGTACGACGTAACAACACCATTCAATGGATGACGCACAAAAGACTTTGAGCCCAAGTTAGACCACAATGCACCGTGTTCTCTATCTCAGAAAAGTCCTAACGAAATTAAAACAATGTAAAAAACTTGGATCACGTGATCTGTTAGTGCAAGTCACGTCGTCGCGTCGATCAAGTACACCAGTAAGCGGTAACACATTAAAGACGCCAACAACACCTTTCGTTCATACACACACTTTCGCAGTATTGAGTTCTGGGTCCAGTTGTTCAAAGCCCGATTAGTGCTAATCCTGGGTAAACTCTTAATAAGACCTATAGAGTTAATCCTGGATTAGCGCTAATCCAGCATTGAACAACCCGGCCCTGGTAGGTCATTTCCATCACAACACATTTTATGTTAATACGCAGTATGATATCAATAATAATAAATAATGATGAGAACAGCCTGAAAAAAGACATTGAGCAGCTACGCCCCCAGCCCTCCCTCTATTTGAAAATATGTTTTTATGAATATGGATTTACCTTATACATAATTTCCCTTGCTCCAACAGCATCATTATAGATATCATCTAAAGTGTTCTTAGCTTTTCTCATCTCCATAACAGCACCCTTCGCTTTTTCGTACGCATTCTTGCATTTCTTAAAATTCTCGATGGTTTCATAGAAATTCAATGCTGAAGAGGAGAAAAGAAAGAACGAATAAACAGTAAATAAAAGAAGAATGCATGGATGCCTGGATGGATGGATGGATGGACGGATGCATGGATGCATGGATGCACGGATGCATGGATGCATGGATGCATGGA